TATATATAAACAATGATCTATCTCCAAAATCTTCCATGAAAGAAACATGAAATTCAGCTCAGCAGTATTTGCCGAATCTCATTGACGGACAGTTAAACAAGCAAATAGACTCACAGACAAGCAATGAAAAACCTACCTCCACCTTGGCCTCTCCTTGGCTGAGAAAATAAAAGTCAGCAGTGACATTTCTGCCATGACAGGTTGCTACCAAAACAGCAGAGCCCCGTCAAATTAACCTGCCCAGTCAACAACGGTGCTGAAAATGAAAATAGCCCAGAGTACTAACATAGTCTGGCATTGTTTTAAAAATCTATCAACTGTGATATTTGGCACTTTTTGGATTTTTTAAGTAATCCATTCTTTTTTTCTAACATTAAAATAATAGAATAAAACTTGTGATAAAATGTGTTGAAAGCATACTGATAGCAAATCAATGACATAACTTGTTCTTAATAGAAAACTTGGGAAACTATTTAAATATTTGCCAAGTGTCTCAATTTTTCTCACAGAGGTGAAAATTAAAATAGAGGTGAAAAAGTACAGGTTTTATCTTAAGGCAACAGGTTTTATCTTAAGTACAGGTTTTAGCTTAAGGCAGAAACAAGACCAAATCATACTCACATTGCGTAGTGAGCTCACACTTCAAAGTTCACCCTGCAGCATAACATAACATAACTCCTCTGGTGTACAAATACACAGCAATATGTTGGCACTTGAGCAGAAATGGGATGTTATAAAATGAAATGATAATACGGAATCATGTGAACAACATGTATGCTAGTTCATATTAGGTACTTCTATCATTACAGCACTAAGAAATAGCTTAAAAAACAAGATACATTTGACAGATTTAGTGCTTGATGCTTTGAAATGTCCCAATAATATGTGTTTGTTTGTCTGTCTCTTAGCAAAATATCTCATGAACCACCAGAAAGATTTTAATGAAATCTTCAGAAAGTCATTAAAATCTTTCTGGTGGTTCATGAGATATTTTGCTAAGAGACAGAAAGATTTTAATGACTTTCTGAAGATTTCATTAAAATCTTTCTGGTGGTTCATGAGAAAGATTTTAATGAAATCTTCAGAAAGTCATTGGTAGTACAATAAATCTACAATTACATTTTGGAGTCAACCTGATTGAAGCAAAAAAGAAAAAAAAATGTATAGATCTTCTGGACGGGTTCTTCTCTAATGAAACGTTTCGTCTCTC